AGAAAACCTAACAATCAATTGATATTCACAAGAGACGTACCTTGACATAACCTTAAATCCGTCGCATTGTCCGTGGGATTGTTTTCACTCATTTTTTACAATTGTTATCCACAAAATTTGAAAATAAAAAATACTACCCTATTAAATTATATGTGTATCAAAACAAACTAAAAAAAAATATTTATAGAAAAACAGTACTTTTATGACCTTTATTATTTTTATGCTAGTGAGAACCGAAACAATATGGAAATGAATGAGGGAAAACTGGATCCTACCACATGATTTCCCGGCCAATAAAAATGTAGCGTTGGACGTTTAACGCAACCTTGTTGGAAGTCGCATAAGAAGTATAACTTCAACAATGAATTTAGTCGAATTAGAGAGTTTAGTGGATTGCGAGATGCTAAAGATAAAATCAATCACATTCGAACGAAAACCCCGGTCTTTGATGATAAGTTTTAGGTAAAAGAGCTCTTCATTGAGAAGATAACTATTAGAACAAATTTAAGAAGTACAGTAAACAAGTGCGCGTAAGGCAGCTATCTATTGTTTAAGGTGATGTTTATGTTATGAGTGGCAACTGAAACCGCAAATATGATTTCCGATGAACAGAAGTTAGAAATTCATGCAATTACGAGTAATAAGAACCTCCAAGAAAGTTAAACACTTATTACTTGTCCGAACGTGAATTGCATAAGGAAAATCTATAAAATGCATACTATTAATAACATGACCAGCATCAGCATTGTCCAACAATGTCAGCATTACTTATCAATGATGTTCAACTTTAATGGTAAATTTTATCGAATGATAATTGACTTAACTATTCACTTCTTAAGTCAACTGATCTGATTAATTTGAAGTAAAACTCCTTGATTTATTAGAATTTCTTCTTATACAAGATAAGTCCAAAATTGTTTAACATTGATCATTGATTGTACTTAAACTTGATATTCCTCAAAAGGCAAAAATCACTTTGTTTATAAAATATATGATTATTATAATTTCATCTAGGCATATTTTGTAGATCTGTTAATCGTGTCAAAATGAATGTACATCCATATGAGAAAAATATCTGTAAGAAGAATTAAGCTTTGGGAAAACAGAACGTGTGAAAAAATAAGAATTAAAACAGAAGTAATTTTACACTAAGCAGCCTAAAGGTCTTTTCCTAACAAATTTCCTAACAAAATGTAGGCTATATCATGCAATAGTGTGAGCAATTTTACACCAAGCATTCGGTAACACTCAACAGTTTCCAAAATTATTGCAAAAAGCACTGAAACCTACTCACTGAAAACAAAAAAATACATAAGCATTTTCTAAATTAGACCCGTTTGCAAACCCATGCATTTCGTTTGAAGTTATTTATACAAAGTTTCGTCCTAAAATCTGTCTTTCTCAATTCACATATTTTCACCTAGAGCTCACAAAAGTGTTCAACTTTTGATAATACCCATGAAGTTAAGAATTGATAAATGGTTGGAGTATTGTATGGTGCTTCAATTCATACTAGGACTGGAATATTTATTTATTTATTTTGGTCAAAAGAAATCTTTCTTTGTTTATTTAAAAATACAACAAAATTAATGTCCGGTACTTCGTTTAAATTAATTAATTATCATATTTTCGGTAAGGTTTTCAGTCTATTAACAGTTGAGTTAGAGTGCAAGAAACGCAGATCATTAGAATGAAAGTTATTCACGGTGTACTGTTTTCCCCCCTACTGTATATTGAAACAAATCTAACTGAAAATATACGCTATTTTCACGCTTTTAGTTTTTGAAGTTTGAAGGACATAATTATCGTGATGTCTTAACATCAACTTTATCCTTTTCCAAGTGAATATTTATGTCTGCAAGTGAAATCCAGTTCCCTTTTTCGAAATCCAATCAGAAGGATTGCATACTGTTCCCGAAAAATATATTTTCCCGAATCTTTTAGTTTTTGAAGGCCTTAATTACCTGATATCTTGACATCAACTGTGACATCCTTTTCCGTAATAATATTTATGTGTGCATGTGAGTCTCTGCGCCCTTTCTGAAAATTTTTATTTCTAGTCGGTAGCCATGGGAAAGAGAGTTAATAGGGAATTGCATTGTAGCTCTAGCTCAATCCATTATTTTATAAGGTGGCACATTTTTTTTTTAAATAAAATCTGATTCAAGCTAAAAATTTAATACTTTGATGCCTTTTTGATATAATTTGTAGCTTTTGATGCATTTCAACCTTTGCTACTTCGTCCCTAAAAATGTTACATTAGTTTTAAAAACAGGGGTTGAGATGTTTTCATAAATGATGGCATTGAACAATGGGCAGACATGAAATATTGGTAAGAGTTTGTAAACATTTACTTCTCTTTATTTGATATTTCATAAGTGTATTAACAAACAAATCCTAATGGGCTTAAATTTCCTTCGTTCTTACACGAATCTTAAGAACGTATAAGAGAATGATAAATGAGAGAACCTATATAAATGAACCTATGCATTCAAAAATGTTTATTGTAGTCCCAAGTATCAAACCAAAATATAAAATTATTTAAAGTGTCTAATGTTTTCAAGTAAAAGAGCAATAATAATATATGAACAAAAAGAAAATGAAAGAAAAATAATATCATTTAACAGTCAAAAATTACATTAAACTTTCTTTTCTGTCTTGTCTTTCAACTAGTTTGATAAATTATGTTTTAAAAATTAAATAAGCATATTACTATTCGTTTGCTATTCATTATATTTCATTCAATTATTTCAGCCATAGTTCTCAATATATCCATTGATGAAAGGGAATATATATATCTTTATCATCCTCCAGAAGGGTTAATATCCATTCACAATCCGTACCGCATAGTCAATCCTCACATTGAAGGCTTCACTTTATCATTGAAAACACAACGACATACTTTTCATTTAAAGAAGGTAACTCTATTTATATTTTAAAACTCATACTTTTATGCCATTAACTAGCTGAATATATGTTCTTCGCATTAAGTACAAATAATCAAACTTTTAATCGCTATTTATCTATACTACGATATAGTGCAATAAATTGAACTAAGTTTATAAATATGATAAATTAAACCAAGTTAAAGCATTTTTTTTACAATTATTTCAAATGACTATTAAAAGAATCGATCTAGATTAATCGATCTAGATCAGCCACAGGGTGCTCAAAAATACTAATTTTCTTTTGTGATTTATAGTCAGCCTCTCAAACTTTTGAAAAATTTAAAATTTATTGATAAGTAGAACAAAAAGTACGATCTAAACGCTTCTTAAGTTATAAATAGTTTATTCTTATCTCACCCCGCCCTAATTTAGGGCATACGAGAGTTGATACATAACACAAATCATACATTAAAAATACGTCAATCTCTAAAAGTTACATCAACAGTGAATATAAGAATCTGAATATCTAAAATAATGTTCAGTACAATTCTATAAAACAAGTTAAAACCAAATAAAATAATAAAGTAGTAAAAAGGTTTAAAAAAAAACACAAAACACCCAAAAACCAATAAATGTTAAAACTTTGCAGGAACATGCAAAACAGTGATAAAATATAGAAGTTAAAATTCGATAAAAAGGTTAAAAGGCAGAACAAGTTAAGAATCAAAACAATCAGTTAAAAGTTGATAAAAACAATGCTTGTTAAATTAAAAATCTATAAAAACAATACAAGTTAAAACGTAGAGAAGTTTAAAATGAAATTAGATAGAAATACAAGACACCAGCAATAGTGTTCGCAGGCTCCGAGCATAGTTAAATGTGGTTCAGAATGTCCTCCAATGTTACCTTTATAATTTTTTTAACGATGTTTCTACAGACCAACTTAGCAAAGCATTGGTGCAAATTTTGTCCTGCAAAATGGTTTCCACGGAGTGTATGGAAGTGTGGGCAGTTCATGATCAAGTGTTCGATTGTCTGATTGTCCCCACAGTAGGTACAATTTGGGTTTTTATTGAAAAGTCTATTTTGGTATTCTAAGTTATAAGCTTGGCTTAACCCCGTCCCGCCTCCGGTGGGAGGCATCCGGGGATACTGGTTACCCGAGGTGGATTTTCGTGACTGCTCAATAGGAAGAGTTACTTGGAAGAGTGTCTGGCAACGAGAAGATGGCAACACGTCTCGTCGAGGGTTGGCCCGCAGACCTAAAGCACCCCCTCCGAGGAAGTGGGGTGGGAGCACGGGTGCACAGAGCGAGCAGGCGCCAGGCCGGCCTGGGCGCCTCACGCGTACAGCAGCCAATTTATTTAAATTCAAGTAGAGTTACATGGCATGGATACAGTTCACAGATGTAGAGAATCCCAGGCGCAAATACAAAATCAAGTACCAACAGAAGTAGAGATGATCCATTAAACAAACATAATGTAGTTTTTACAAGTTAAAATGATAAATATAATGGCAACTATGAACAGAAGTAAAGATGATCAGTACAACAGACGATGTATGGTTTTTACAGGTGATTAAAGGGGCCGTGCGACGCGCCCGCACTGCTCAGTGATCAGTTATAGCAATTACAATAATGGGTTGAGACAGATACAATGATGATGATTACAGTGGAAAGCATGAACAGAAGTAAAGATGATCCGTTCAACAGACATAAGTTAATTGATTGAAATAACAGACAGAAATAAGTTAATTGAATGATAAAATTCAGTGGTTGGTTGAAACAAATTTAAAAATGGTAAATACAGTGGGAATTATGAACAGAAGTAAAGATGATCGATTACACAAACAAAATATGGTTTTCGTATGGGGGGTTGTGTGACGAATCTACAGCTTTCAATAAGTCAAGGTCTAATTGGCATTATATCCGCGAACTGTAGCAAGATTTCGATCTGTGTAGTGATTGTAATGAATAATGATTTGACGACTGTGGGGAGTGTTATCTGTCAATGATTTCCGGCGTGTGTCTCTCGAAGTGTGACTTGATTATTTCAATGATTCCCTGTTTGATCTGTTTGTTTCTCCAATTTTGTCTCAATTGTTCGTAATTGAACCCGGCAGGGAAAAAGCCTGTTCTTATGGTTTGGTATTCAGGGCATCTGATTAGTATGTGGTCCAGATTATCGGTGGTGCTACATGAGGGGCAGTTAGGGTCTTTATGATGAAAGCGGGCCTGATAGGTGTACTGGGTACCGTGATCTGTTAAGAATTGGTTGAGGTAAAAATTACTGTTTAATGTTCTTGGGTTGACGTTTTTAATTAGATTATACGTGTGACGACCCTGTTCATGTTCCTCATCCCATCTCTTCTGCCATATGTCCAAAATCTCGTCTCTCTTTTGCTGCCGAATGGTTCTTCTTGATGGGCAATTATAAGTATCGATTTTTTCAAGTTCGCAGGCCTTTTTGGCATAAATGTCCGCTTTTTCATTTCCTTCGTGTCCAACATGGGCCCTTATCCATGACAAGCCGATGTTGTTTTTGTGGTGCATTTTTATCATAGTTACGAGATAGTCCACGTCTTTCGGCCGCTCAAGTGCTTGGAGGCCCGAAAGTGAGTCTGAGAATATGTTGACGTCTCCACTGATCCCGTTCATGTTAATGAACATTATTGCCTGAAGTACTGCCCACAGCTCAGCTTTAAATACTGTGGAATTTTCACAAAGTCTGAATTGGCATTGGTCAATCTGGTTACTGTTCTGGTAAACTACGAAGGCGCAGCCGACTCTGGTCTCGTTATTATATGTCATTCTTGACCCATCAGTGTAGATCTCCATTCCCATGTTTGTTGGTGGGTTAAAATTAAAAGAGATTTGATAGTGTTCTGCGGGATGTTTATATAGTAAGTCAATCTGTCTATCAGTTGGTTTGTCATGTAAATAGATTTTAGAGATGTCGGCTTCTGTTCTGACGACCAGGTCAAGTGGTATAGTTCCTGCAAGAATTTGTAAAGCCGAGGTGGACGTAGTGCTATAAGCCTTGGTTATGTTTAGCAAAGGTAGTCTCTCTATTTTCCTAATCTTGTTAAAAAATTTTACCTTCTCACTGTACCAGATCTCAGCTCCATAAATTACGATTTTTTGGGTACACTGTAAGTAAATCAGCTTTATGCAAATTAATTCTAAGTTATAAAAAAATCATCTACGTATTTCTTGAAAAATGTAAAAAATTTTAAAAACTGTAAGTGCTGCTTCCATTATTGTAAGTAGAATTGGTCGTAACAGAAGAAAACCTTGATTAATTCTAGAGATACAGTAATAAAGATCTCAGAAAAGAAACATTCGAGGTTTTTTTCCCGATCAAAATGTAAAAATTTGTCCGAAGTGTTTTAAGAAAATCGTTAAAAGTGTAAAACTAAACATTGACTGCCATAGCGTCAAAGAGTACCTAAGAGAACTGTAATCGATGTAATCATTTTGGGGCACATGGCGAAAGACTGTCAGAATAACCAATTGCAATAAAACCTACTGCTTCCATTGTAACGAGATCGAATATCACGCCAAAACCGGCAAGTCAAAGATCAAATGCGTTAACTGCCACGAAACAAAAGTGAAGTTTGCATCAGTCTTGAAAGTTGACCAGAAGTCCTGTCCGTATACCAATGAGCAATAGATAGAATTGAAAGAAAAAAAATTTAACGGCAACTAGGCTGATCCTGGAATACAACTGTGATTGTAAGCCAATCATGACATTCTTGAATATGCTGTATCTATCAAATTCATTATTTTTTTAAATTATTATTTAAAAAAAATTTGTAATTGGTTTTAATAAAGCTGGTTCGAGCCTTTAATATATATTATTATAAAATGTATATTATTATAAACTTATAATAATATTAATACATTTAAAAAAAATTTAAGTAAAAATGATTAATTCAAATAAATTACTATTTAAAATATGACCATTTATATTAGACTCGATTTATAAAAAATAAATACATTTTGTAATATTTGTTAATTCATTGGGTGTTCTGATATTTTTTTGATGCTACTAGTAATTTTTGCTAACCTTTATATTTGTTTTCTTGGATAACTAGTATTAAATATTATAGTTTAATCAATATTATTTTGATTATCATTGTCTCTTATATGTCAAAAGCATACCTTATTATTCTTATTTAATTTACATATATATATGTATATATATATATGAATAAAAAAGGGGGGGAATATATTGACATATTGACTCGAAGAATATGTTTTGCGGATATAATCGTGTGGGCTGAAGAAAAGATTATATCTTTTTTTTCAGGATTTTTAAATATATATA